TACACACCTTTCTGGCCCCGAATAGACAATATGACATTATTGTAATCCCCTTTTCCGTATGGAAACACAGAAGAATACTTTTACATTACATCAGGGTGACTTTGATAGAGATATTTCTAATATGCTAACCAGATATTCCTCTATAATTTAAAACTATCATGACGTTGGCATGATCTGACATATCATATCATCTGACATATCATATATCGTTGGAACCAGGGCTCAAATTAATTTTTTTGTCCACGGGGGCTCTTCCCCCCAAAAAAAGAGCCCCTTGAGTCTTCTCACGGGGGCTCTTTTAGTACTGACGGGGGCTCTTTTGTTATACAAATATCCATTGAATTGGTATCTATGATACTCCTCAATTATTTGCAATTTCATCATTATCATTTTAATCAGCATTTTCCCTCTTACAAATTTACAAGCTACATAGCTTTTACTGACTTTCATCCCCTGATGACATTCTCTCGATTTTTCCCGTTCTGCACATTATTTCCTCCTCATTATTCGGAGCAACCTTTACATTCTTTCTTTACTGAGCCGCGTAGCGGCGAGGCAATTTTATGTGTGTGCTATTTTGGACAGGCGCGGATCCACGGGCCGATTCTACCGGCCCGCCCCCCCCCCCCCCTCCTAGCCTCCAAAACCGGTTAAAAAATAGGATAGTAACGTAAATTTTACCTTAAGAAATAAAATATAAAACGCCCCCCCCCCCCTGACCTGCCAGTGACACAAATGCGGCATCAAAATATTTGTGCTTCTCTGACCGTAATTAAATGCCTAAAACCCCTGAACCCCCCCCCCCCCCCACACCAATTTACGCTCGCTACCCTCTACCTGATCGTAAATACTTTAGCCCCCCCACTTTGATAAACGTTCCGCGGGGCCTGTGTATATAATATATACGCATACAACACTGATCTTTATGATGTCTTTAACGTAACATATCTTCTTCTCCCCTTGCAAACGAGAAAGAAAACAAGGTCATTAAAAGGGATTAAGCGACAAATAATGATTGTGATTCAAATTGATGCGAATATTTGTTTGAATAAGCACTGCTATTCACCCGAATCTTCTTTGTAAAAACAACTTTTACAAATCTCAGCCATGCTTGCTGAGTTGAGACGTTCCATTCAATGTAAAATACTCATTAAAGAATACACTTCTCCTAATCTGAAAGTGATCTTACAACACAGTGGCAGATTTGCATGGCTGAAATTTGTAAAAGTCGTTTTTACAAAGAAGATTTTGGTGAAAAGCGTTGCTTATTCAAAAAAAAATCCTTGCATCAATTTGAATCACAATGATTATTTGTCGCATGATCCTTTTATTAAATAACCTTGTTTTCTTTTTTGTTTGCTGGGGGAGAAGAAGCTATGTCACGTTAAGAAATCATAAAGATCAGTTGTATTATGCGTATATATTATGATATCAGAACAAAATGTTGATTATCAGAATGTCATTTTGGAATACCTCTATACAAATACCACATTGTCTTTAGCCCGTATCAGTATTAGTATGAGCCAATATAAAGCTATTATTCTTTATTCAGTTCAGTATAATGCTTTTCCTCAAAAATAGTTTTGCTATTTTTTTAGGGTTGAGACGCTAAGAAATGGTTTCAAATGTATATTACACAAACCCTGAACCATTGCAAAATGGTGGTGGTTCTTTCTCTCTCTCTCTTTATTTTAATTATGCATTATCAACTACATATAAAGCAGCAACCAAAAACTTAGGGTTATCTGAGATAGGTGAAAGTAAGAGTTAAAAAGAAAGTCATGCTAAAACGGCGCTTCACTTCCCCCCTGAAAAAAATAAAATAGATTAGTAGTCCTCCTCTCCAGCATCCCCTACCCCCCCCCCCCCGCTTTAATATTCACCGGCCGGCTGAGTCGGCGCAAAAATGTTCCCAAAAAACTGGACCCCCCAAAACAAATATATGTGCATTTGCCCCCCCCCCCCCTCTTGCCGCCGGCTGGATCCGCCCCTGATTTTGGACCCCCGTAAGTGATGTTTTCCTGGCATCTACTTACATGCGAAGCATCGTCCACGACCCGCATAGCGGCGAGGCGATTTTTTTTGTTGTTGCTATTTTGAACCCCCGTATTGTTTTCCTGGCATCTACTAACATCTTACTGTGTGGGTCGATATGGACACATAATGGCGTTTTTCTATGCACATCACATTTTCACTTGGCAGCCCAAGGGGGCCGGGGGGCGAATTTGCGATTCCCAAACCATTCAGCTATGGGAAACATTTTGAGCAACGTGATTGGTTAAAAAAGTTATAAAGACACGCCCACATCGACGCGAGCCATCTCATCATGGCGGTGCGAATGTGTCTGGGGCCAAGTCCGAGGGAACCATCAAATCTTCAAAATGATTTTCCAAATCTGCATGTAAGTAGATATTTAGACCCTGTATTTAATTATTTTATTATAAAGTCGCCATGATCAGATCCGTGTCTATGACTTTTGGAATGATGTTTGCATGAATGGGCTGCACATAAACAATGGATAACAGTGGGCCTGAATGTGCCTGTAGCTAGCTCGCGTGTGAAGTGCATTGTACCTAGTAACAACATAGCGTATGTGCAGTCCTGAGTGTTTTGTTGAGCCTAGCCATGCATTGTTTGAACATAGACAATAACACAAGTTACATGTAGATTTAGATGATAGATCTTTTAAGTATGTTCTAATGAAATGTAGATATCGATTGGATGATTTTTTTTATTTTTATTTTTAGATCTAGACCCTAGATCTATAGACCTATGATAAAAAATAAAAAATGGAACATTATTTATTGGGGGAGGGGGGGGGGGAGTCTAACTTTACTAGTCTAGATGTCTATGTATAATTGAGAGCTTGAGTCTGAGGGGAAAAAGGGGTTGCAGAGAGGCCCAGCAGTTGTTCTAATAATCAGAGTTTAATGAAAGGATTAGGCATTACAACCCTCAGACATGATATCTTTCGTAAAGTGTCAAATTAGAGTCTGTGCTTGCAGACTAACATTGTGAGTGTTTGTGTGTCTGTGTCAGCTGTGAGCGAGCCCGAGCGTGCAGTAAATGACGTAATATTCATTTCTTCTCTCGACCAATCACGTTGCTCATAAAGTCTCCCATAGCTGAGTGGTTTGGGAATCGCAAATTCGCGGCCGGCGGGGGGGGGGGGGGAGAGGAGGGAGTTAAACCCCTTAACCCCCCCCCCCCGTAGATCTGCCCATGTTACCATATCATTCCACGACATCTTGGTCTTCCTCTTCTTTTCAATAGGGACTTTTAGATTTGCGTGGACGTGGACGTGTTACGTCCTTTTAAGGCACTGGCAGTCACATGTGACGTCCTTTTAAGCACTGGCAGTGCCTTAAAAGGAGGTCACGTTGCAGTCCACGTTCTCATCGTGCAAATCTAAAAGTCCCTAATATTGATTACTGGTCGAGGTTCATTATTTGCTGGTCATTTGAAATCACCAGATTTCAACGGGTTTACGCTTTCACAACGAAAAACTTCTCCATGACCATGTTTCTGTCCTTGCGCGATCGCCTCCAGCTCCAGCAGACATGGCGCGGCAGCGTGCCCACGTACCGTTACTAACGGCGCAGTAGGCTTATAACCACTGCTGACGGCGGCATTGCACTGCGAGCTGAGTCGGTAATAATAGGCCTACTCATAGAGCGAGAAATCTTGCACGTTAATCTAAGTTCCATTTCATTGGTTTAAGGTTTGAAAATTGAAACTCAATATTGTGTTAAAGTTATAACAGAAAACATAATCTTTATTTTATAATTCCACAGGGGCGATTTTTAATTTTGCAATCGCCCCCGTGAGCAACCTGACGGGGGCGATTATGTAGCTCACGGGGGCGAATCGCCCACCGCCCCCGTGTATTTTGAGCGCTGGTTGGAACATTATCTCTTATTCTATGTTTTCATTCTAAGCAATTTATTGCAGAGGCCAATATCCTGGGAAAACTACGCCCGAGTAAACAATGACTTTGACAATCTTGTCCAAAATATATTTGATATAGCGCCTTTTCCTTGCAGTTACAAAGCGCTATCAACAAGCAGAATTTCAAAATCTCTAATTTGAAGCATATTTGTTAATAAGGAAAACATCTATGTTATTATCCTTTGAAATGTGCACTGGCTCTCTCTCTCTCTCTCTCTCTCTCTCGCTCTCTCTCTCTCCCTCCCTCTCTCTCTCTCTCGCTCTCTAAAACTAGATATTGAGTCTCAGTTATCAAAGTCGAGGTAAACAATTGTCAAATCATGACACAAACTTTGTTCCTAAAATTGACTTTTCCTTCAAAAAGGGGTTACCGGATTCTCCCTAAATTCAGTTCACCCCCCCCCCACACACACACACACAAACAGACACGACCTAATGCTATCACTTCATTCATTTTCCTCTTTTTTTCGTTACTGATCATCCCTTTTTCATGTTTTGTGTTTGTTTGATATTGTTTGTTTTTGTTATTGTTGTTGCTGCTTTTCTGTTCGGTTTGATTATTTGTGGTGGGCAATTTTTTCCTTCTTTCTTTCCCTACAAAATGTAGGGAAATCTGCCGCTCCTGTATAGCACACTTTCTTTGAGAAACCTTTAGGAACAGAAGTGTCCAAAACTTCATGTATTATTAATTCACAACATCATATTCTTATTTATAGTAAAACTGCACTCATTCGGTCATAAATTATCAATCTTTTAAAAACTAGATATGTGTACTTTTTTTTTCCATTATCCAGAAAATATTTATTGCACGTTCTGTTGTGAATTTTGTTTTTGTGTTTTTTCTCTCTAAATCTAATTTTTAATAATATAATTCCCTAATTTCCCTAATTTTTCTATCTACTCTTCCGTTTTCACATTTGAAAAATCTAATTTCCAATTCTTTTATCTTTTATATTTGCTTTCAGAGACCTTTGAAACATCATTTTTAAACACGTCTACAGGAAAATATAGAGTAGCCATACTTGAAGAAAAGGAGAACAAATTGTCTGGTTTTTAAAAAGTGCAATTTAATTCGAATCCTGGTAATTCCACATATGATAATATAATTCACCTGAAATGGTATACACTAAAATACCTATTATTTTCACATTTGCATTCATCTTAAATGGATCAGCTCGTTCGTTTCACAAAGACATAATTTACTTACTGAATGTTCAGCCTTTATTAATGTATTTTCACGATACGTTTGAAAAATGACTAACTACAAACTTTATTTAAGAATCATCAAATCTATTGCATCGTGTAAAGGTATGTTAAGCGGATTATACATTCAAACAGTGTTTGATAACCAGTTTATAGAAAAAGCACTGTATTCCTTGCTTAACTATTTTACTTATTCATTTCGTTTTCAATACCGATTACAATTGAATGCATTTTGGCAGCTAGTGTTTAAAAGGAAAGAAGGAGAAAAGGGCCTTGCAGAACAACTGTGTACAATTTCAGATCATATTAAAAAATAATGCAACGATTTCATAAACAGAATAAAATGTGTAAAAGCAGGTATAGATATACTTATACATGTACATATAGTAAACCCTCTTATCTCCTCTTGATTTAATGCGGGTGTATCATGCAGGCAGATTTTCCTCTGACGATTTTTCCATGTTCTTTCTTTATTGAGCGCTAGACCGGCCGACTAGATTTAACCAATTGGCTTAACAGCTAGCGACTATGCCATTGGATTTGCACTGCATCGATTGCTCTTGCGTTCCATATACGCTGCAAACTCTCGACGCCATTCCGCTAAGAGCTCTTGATACTCCACCAAGACTTCACGTGATCCTGTGTCTCCCTCAGTCTCCTCGTCGCCTTCTCCGTCGTCGTCCACCTCAGCTGTTTGAGGCTCTCCTAAAATATTTTGTAAATAAATTAAAAGAATTTAAATATGCAAAAAGTAATATAACATCCATGGAACAAATCATTTATTTCATCGCCTCTTGGGATTTTGCCTGCTGAGAACCAGAAGGGCTACGACTCACATCATTTCATACTGACAAACTGCCCTTCTGGCTCACAATAGACATGATATGAAATCAAAGCAATTTAGAGGCAACACAATTACACTGATGAATGAATGTAAAGCTATCAGAATATGACGCTCGTGTCCAGGTCCTTCTTTATAGGAGACGTTAATTCTAAGATCATGTCGTGTAATCAGCATCTGGTTTATATTCACCTATAATCTTTAACACCTGAGGCATTATATTGTATAATAGAAATACCCTATGAAGTCCATTCCAACTCCCAGGTCTTACCCATGAAACTGAGGACCTGTGGAAAGTATTCTCTCCAGAAAGCACACTTCCTAGCCTTCACGGCTCTGCCTTCCCCAAGCTCTGTAGACAGTTCCTTGTACCGGAGACCTGGAAGATCGAAGGCTGGCCAACTGTATTCATTTTCACCAGGGGTAGCGCTTACAGAGGCCTTACTCGGGTCACTAGAGGATTAAGAGATGAATAAAACGTTGTCATAACTCGGAGTAGTGGGAACTTTCTCATATATCATTATACAAATGTATTACAACATTTGGGAAAAGGCTCGCTGAACCAATTATTTATTCCTAAAAACTATCATCTTACAAGCAAATGCTTGCACAGTAAACAACATACATTCTAAAGTAAACGGAATAATAATTCTACACGTTTCTCGTAGTCTTTGCACAAATGACAATATTATGTGCTTTAGCTTTCATTTATTAAAGTCACGCCATGATGACACTGTCTCGAGTATACTCCTCAGTTAGACCAACCTTGTTATTGCCTTCTTTCAGCATAATATCTTTCCATGAATATTCGGTCTTCCTTTTCCTTTTTACAAGTTCCTCATCTTCTCTTCTTAAAACATGACACATCCATCTCAATCCACTTCTCTTTACCACTTCCTCCACAGTTTAATCAAGACTCAACCTTTCAATGAGCTCGCTTGTGTTCTTGCTATCGAACAGCTTCACAAGTCAAGCAAATGCTTACACATATTCAAGATTCAAGATTCAAGATTCAAGATTATTTTATTGGTCCATGCATGCAAACATTACATAGAAATTTTGCTTCCAATGGCTTTTTTGACAGTGAAAATACAAATGATAGAAAATACAATATAACATTAACAATAGAAAACTATGTACATAAATATGGATAACTATTTATAGTGTGCATATGCCCCTCAATTTTCTACATATATATATATTGTAAAGTAAACGGAATAATAATTCTACACGTTCTCGTAGACTTTGCACAAATGGCAGTATTATTGTGTAGAACTGTCAATAGCGCGAAAAAAAACGCAGCCAATTGTATTTTCCGATACAACATTCCGTGTTGTAATGTAAAAGATCATTAAAACGCTACCACAAAAATTTCGATAAAGAAAAGGCAATTCTAATAGCCTTGTCCACCACCTACTGAAATGTGCAAACATTACAATGAGGTAACTCGCAATCCAACTATCAATTCTATGGGATATACAATAGGATATTCAAATTGCCCTTTAGTTGATTTCTCAACTGCAATCGTTTATTAAGTACGAAAGGATTAATTTTCCTATATAGGCGGTCTTACCCAGATTTAGCAAAATTTGTCCAGAACTGGATGATCTTGTAAGAGAGTTCCATTTCTTCTGCTGTGAGGTTAAAGCCGGTATAAGTTACCAGGTCTTCTATGAATGGCCAGCCGAAGACGAGTGGAACATCCTCTCCGTGACCAGCTCCTAGCCACGGCTTTGGCTCCTCAAAAAGTGTGGAGATACTCCTAAAGGTCAATGCAATCCTTTTAATAATATAGTCACATTTTTAAGGCATCTCTCAAGTTCAATGTTAATAATCGTTACTAGGTAATATATAAGCTATAAACGACAGATGTTAGACAATATATACTATATATATATATATATAAGAACCGTGGGGCTCATACTCCATCTCCCTTTCCTTGCATCGAGAGGTGAGACACAAACAAGGAAGAAAAACAAGAACAAAGGAAAAAAGAAAAGGGAGAAAGGGAAAGGAAAAGGGACGTATAAAGAAGACGCCTGGATCATACCGACCACCCACCCCACCCCCCCCCTCCGCCATCTACAATCAATCAGCGGGCTTGTACTTGCGTATTTGCAGTGCCCCCCCCCCCCCCCCAAAAAAAAAAAAAAAAAAAAAAAAAAAAGGTTCTATTTTCACCTTAATGAGTGGACTCACTATCCGAAATAAAACAGAATGTTACTCTGCGCTATTCTCCCTCCCATATAATACTTTAACATTTAAATACTAACAGATCTGTAAACTATATCTATTACTTTACAAGAGAGCATGGGTGTCGTTCCCGGGGGGGATGGGGGGATATATCCCCCCCCCCCCAATATTTCAGGTGCGGGGGATGGCCTGTACAATCATCCCCCCCAATAATTCACCATCAAAAAAAAAATGAAGAGAAAAATTAAGGATGAGAGCCCGATGAGAGTAGTTAATGGTTATTACTCGCAAGATGACCATCAATATACACATTTTGCTTTCTCATTTTCATAATACATACATATATACGAAGTAAATAAGACAACCGTATATGAGACAAGAATAAATTGAATTCTCGCTCATACGGCTTCATCAGGAATTGATGAATCTATTCAATTTGTTCAATCAAGAGCATCATAGAAATGCAGTGCGCCAAATGCAAAGACGCAGCGTCAAAAAGCAACGAGCTAAATGTTAAGCGCGAAGCGCAAAAATAGCAATCTGCAATGCACATCAGACAATCCTGGACAGTGTAAACATAGATGAACTCTGTGACGATTTTGTTATGAGATCGGAGATAAGGAGAAAGATTTTCGGACATTAGTATGACTTATGAAATAGTTCTCTAGTTGTTATGTTGTTTCCGTTCACCCTTTTTAAAATTCACGTCATTGTACCTTTATTTTTGTTTTTTTCACTCATATTATTTCCTGATATTTCCTAAAAGATTTTTCATTTTTGGAGAAAGATTATTATGTCACAACTTATTTGTATCACAAATTATTTTCAGTGGGGAAACTTAATTCAGACAAGGATTAATATAGAGAACAGTACAACGAATCGTCTTCTTTCTCTAATAATTCAGTGAAAAGGGCAAATCTGTTAGGGGGCAACTGCATTCAGACGTGGATTAAGCATAAAAATGTAATTAAACGTGAAAGCTTCCGCGCTAAGCGCGGGATGGGCGAAAATGAATACAGACAAGGATTAAGAGTAAAAAATGTATTGAAAATGTGGGGAAACTGAGTTCATGAAGGACACGATACAACAAATCGTCTTCTTTTACTAATGTGAAAGCTTCCGCGCTTCGCGCAGGAATGGGCGAAAATGAATTCAGACAAGGATTAAGAGACGAGAATGGTACATAGGATCGTCTTCTTTCTTTAATAATCTAATGAAACGTCAGCAGGGGAAGGGGAACTTGATTCAAACATTAAGGATTAAGAGTCGAGAATGGTACATCGAATCGTCTTCTGTCTTTAATAATCTAATGAAACGTCAGAGCTTCCGCGCTACGCACGGAGGAAGGGGAACTTGATTCAAACAAGGATTAAGAGTCGAGAACGGTCCAACGAATCGTCTTCTTTCTCTAATAATTTAGTGAAACGTCAAAGCTTCCGCGCTTCGCGGGGGGGAACTCCCCCTCCCTGCACGCAACCCCCTAGGGACCGCGCTTCGCGTGCCCACTACCGCCCCTAAAATGAAATCCTCTTGATTGCTTTGATCCATTTCCGAAAATATTTTGGCACCTATCATCCCCCCCCCCCAACCACGGATACAAATCGACACCCTTGCAAGAGAGTGCAATTTTCCAATAATGTCACAGTATAAAATACAGAGTAAACCGTCAACTATTGAGTGGTAGGGGTGATGTACATCCTACTTCTGATGGTACACTGCTTACCTCAAATTTAAAGATCCTCTGCATGCAGTACTTACTGAGTCGGAACATGCGTGAAGAAGTATTCGTAGAGGGGGCTACTTCCTCCTGCATGGAACCTTAGCTCCGAATCCACGGCGCAGGCGAAATGCGTATCGGTTATGAAGTCTACCGTCGCTTGGAAGTAGTCTGCGTCGGGATCATCGGAGATTGTCCAATCTATGTACTCTTGCAATACGACACCGAGGACGTCTTCGCTGGTGATTCCATATTCCTGCACGAAGGCAGCAATAATCCTTTTGAAGCCTTTCCCGGAGAGAGGGGGTGTGGGGAGGGTACCGGAGAGAGTAAGCAATGTTCCCTCATCTTTGGTAAAGCCTGCGATCATCGGGAGTTTCTTGAAATCGTTCTTCATGTAGAGATTGAGGGGACTGTCTTCCAGAAAGTTTCCATCAAGGGTTACGTAATTAGAAGTGTAAATCTGAGCAAAAAGATGGATATGAAAATAAAAACAAAGATGTTTTTAATTTATTCATTTTTTTTTTGGGGGGGGGGGAGGGGGACCTAGGTATTAGTAAGCGTGTACCGTCCGCTATTTGGACACAAGTACACGCTTGACTTGCGGATGTTTAATATAATCATATGCCAACGTCAGATTTGCTTTAAGGCTAGGATACGGCGGCCGTAGGCCCCCGAAATTGAGAGATACCTGCGGCGGCCGCAGCGAATCTGCAGTGGCCTCAGGGTTACCCTAGGACGTATCCCTATCTTTACAGGCCGTACGGGTCGCCGTGGGATTAAAACGCAGGGTTATAACTTTTTTCATTTCTAGGTTCTAGCAATTCGAGAATTAGACACACCGTAGCCTTGCCTTGAACGGTTCCACGGCGAACATACGTCGCGCGTACGGTGGTATTGCGGCTACCTTGCATCTGCATTGGTATTAGTCAAAAATCTACGGCCGCCACAGAGACGCCCTAAGGCGAGTGTGCGTCATCCCTTCAAAGGCCGTACGGAAGCCGCAGGTTTTCTGTCTTCACAAATTTAAAGGGATAGTTGAGTTCTGTTAAAGAGGGCGCTACACAAAATATTTTTTTGTGACATAATGAAAAACTGAGTGTCAAATTTGAAAGAACATACAATTTAAATGACAAAATCATCTTTGTTTGATCAACATCGGTTCAGAGACAGCTGAAATATCCATAAATATAACGATTTTTTAATACTTGTGTACCACCACAAATATTAGAACCAGCCGTTGAAAGCCGTTGAAAAAACAAAACAGCGCCCTTACGTTGTATTTCTGCCAATGCTGATGTTGGCTTTTTTATTAGCTTTTTCGTGTTTGTTATATTACGCACAACCAACTGGCCCATGTATTGTTATTAATTAATTAATTAATTAATTAACGGTCACCATATTTTTGGAAAGTGGAGCTGAATTGGTATGATCGTATTGGCTAAATTTCACACATTTTGGGGTATAAAATTACCTTCATAGCAAGTTCAGGTCCTAAAAGGACACTAGAAATGTCATAGATAAGAATAAGAGCAATAACCATGCACTTTGAAGGCATTTGCGATCTGAAAACAGAACTCAACTATCCCTTTAAATTACGCCGTGCGACTACCCTAACATATGACGATATCATAACGATAGAAAGAGAGGAAGGCTACCTTGCTTGCTGCTGCCCTTAACGCCTCTGCTTCTTTTGACCTCAGGCACTGAACCAAAGCCGAAGTGTTCTCTGCATCACAGTCCATGGCTGTTGCGAGACTCTGTACCTTTGTCATTTCCGATTCAGCATTATCCTTGTAAGCCCATACTGAAAGAGCTGATCCACTCTGAAAAGAAAAGGCATGGAATAGTTGATGTCAGGTGGGCAGCCTTTCACGAAACTGTCATAAGTTCAAGTTCGCCGACATTCCATTGAAAACACGCGTTTGAATGGATGTCGGTGAACTTTCTTTTCGTTTCGTGAACAATACCCAGGCCACACAAGGGGACAAAAAATAATTTTCATCCGCTTTGTGCTCACTTTCTGGAAGCAATGATGGATGGATAGACAATTTCGCCAATAGTTTCATATAATTCAAAAACGCGTTAGTTCATTTAATTCTCGCTCTGCTTCTTTTTTCAAACCCACAATTTATTGAGAAAAGTATTGGCAACATTCAGGTGTCGACTGTTCAAAACTGCCCTAACTATTCATTCAATAAAAAAATGCAATCCAGAAGGTAGGATTCTTTGGAGTTATTTCAGTCTCACTCTCATTTTTGTGTTCTTATTCATCTCCTTTCTCATCCTCCTTCTTCTCCTCATCCGACTCCTCTTCTCTTTCTTCCTCACCTTCTTCGTCTTCCTCTTCTTCTCCTTCTTCTTCTACTTCTTTTTCTTTATCTTCTTTTTTTTTTCGTCTTTTACTTCTTCTTTCTTATGTTGTATAATTATTATGTTCGCTTTCTACGCCCAACTGTTCATTACGCCTCCAGTAGGCCCTACTTTAGTCCTGACAGTTGATATTAATATATATATATTTCATTACGTATCGATAGTAACAATAGTACTTGAAATGATGCTACCGTCGTAACTACAAGTATTTTTTTTATTTTTTATAAACTGACAATATTACTCAATTAATCAACCTATAAAATTGAATTTTTACTTACCTGCAGTATGGCCTGAGAGAAGTAGTCCCTGCTTAGTTTCGAGAGTGTATGAAAGCTCACACTAGCGGCTCCGGCACTCACTCCGAATATAGTTATCCTCTCCCTGTCGCCACCAAATGCTGTTGGCCAAAAATAAACTGGTTGAGGAGTGTGCAGCACAAAACGTACGACCATTTGGTAGAAGGGTCTGGATATCAGACTATGACTTTGGTGATTGCAATCACTTGGTCGATCCGACAACTAATGGTAGTAATTTTCCACTAAAAGCCGCTTTCAAGCCCTTTTGTTTTGAGGGAAGCTCTAAATGTAATCTTTTTCATGTTTGGGGCCTGCAAATGGAACAAAGTACCTTTAAACGTTTAAGATAATTCTTCGTAATTATAGTACTAAGTGTTTCCTAATCAGAACTAATGGCTATTTTTGTTTCGTCTTTTTCAGTATTATCAAGGATAAGGTTTCCTTTGAGTTTTTTTTTTATAAATGTATAGATTACATAGATTGTCGAATCGCCTCTTCAAATATGCGTAATACGTTTATGTTAAGTCACAACGTTTGTGCAAAAACGCATTTTCGTTCATACATACAATCAACAGTTTCGGTATTTAAAGGCATGATTTACTTCAACAAACAATTTCATTATGCTCATGTCATTCTCCCTGATATGTTCGTACGTTTAATGCAAAAGGCATCAGTTCTTACAAATCTCATAAACAATATAGAACCACCTCATTCTCTCTCCTCTTCCTTCTCATCCCCCTTCTCCTCCTCAACCCCCCCCCCCCTCCTCCCCTTGAAATGACTACATTACCTTCGATGTTCTCGTACACCCATCGGAGCGCCGCAACTTGATCGAGCATACCAAAGTTTCCTGGGGCAACATTATCCTCTGGAATCAATGGAAATGGTACACCATTGAGCATGATTTTATTTTATTAGCATGAAAGCATAATTTATATATCAGTAATATTGAAAGCTTTATAACGCTCATATCCACCATGCAAGGTGCTCAAGGAACTCCTAATACCTCGAGTTTACAGATAATACAGAATTCCTTCCTACCGGTACCCGTTTAACGCGTTGGTGGATAGTGGCAAATAACGTAGTTAATGTCTTGACAAAGAAAACTATTGCTGCTCCGAGGCCTGAACAAACGACCTTCTCATATCCAGTTAAATTTTCAAACCACTCGACAGCTACACTATTACATCATCAATAGTAAAACCAACCAATAAAAACTACAGAGGTGTGTCTCACTCGATACTTGTGGTATCTATAAACGATACCCGTTGCACGGGAGGCGTTATTTACTTGACGTAGGGTTGCGTCAGTGAATGACGCAGTGGCCAGCGAGAAATGTGAAGTCGACAACGTACACAGAGTAAATACAAAATCTTACAATGCGTGGACTAATTGTCTTCACCAATTCACGGGCTTGTTTGGCGCAGGTACTGACGCACTGAAAATGACGTATCGTGTGCAATGGGCATTACATATAAAAATCAGAATCATCATAAGCAAATAGCGCAGCCCAGACCCTAGCTTGACTCCCAAAGGGAATGTATACCTACTTGTAGTAAAAGTTGCGAATATAGACAAACGGTAGCTGATGGTGACAAGAATGACATCCCCAACGCTAACAATTGGTCCTCCTGTGAAGGCACTCGAACTGCTAGATCCCTCCGAAAAACCGCCTCCATGGATCCATACCATCACAGCCGCATTGGACGGCTGTGAAAATAATCAAGTTGCCTTCGGTAAACATGGGCAATTCTACGGCGTTTAGTTTGTCCGTGTTCCATTCATAACCACGTTTCATCGAATTATGAACATGCTATTGAAAATGCCATGTTCTGAACATTTTATCTGGCCTTATCTCCTTCACCTCCCCTCTCTCCCCTCTATGTCTCGCCCCCTGTATTATTTCTGTTTTCTTCTTCCTTATGAAACAAAAAAAACCGTCTCTTCCAATTAGTTTCCTTCCATTCTTGTAAGTTACCAAAACACGATCCCGAATTACTTTCGAAAAACCAACCTAAGGGAAATTTTAATACCCTTCTGTATATCCCGTAGAAATTATATTCAGATTACGTTATGCACTATTACGCTATCGAAATTGTTGTTTCTCGAAAGTTCCTTGCAAATTCACAGCATATAAACGAGTTCTATAAGTACCTTAGGGCTTGGAACATATACATTGAGGTAGAGACAGTCCTCACTCTGCTGTGGGTAGATGGGTGACGGGGCTTGATGACAGGCCGGCTTGAATTCAGTGGCATCATACACCCCTGTCCACGGTGATTTGGGCTCTGGTGCCGCGAATCGTACAGGTGGGTTTGCGAAAGGCACCCCCTGTAAAAGAAACATTGTCATATTCCAAAGTGCTTTCTTAAGGTGGTTTTATTCTGTTTTAGGTTCACTTGCAGGGGTGGTTCTAGAAGAATAACTGAAGCCTCAGATGGGGGATGTGCCCCTCAATAATGAATACAATCAATATTACGGAGTCCATAGCATCTTAATACAAGTTTGTATATTTGTAAAGTACACGTAACAGCCATTTCATTAGATTAAATTCAATACCATATAGCGATTTCTTACCAGAAATACATCGATTGGCTTGTCGACTTGAAGCTGAGTTTCTTGTTGATACTGAATTGTCATTCCTTGAAGAGTACCTTCATTAACAGTGATCCTTGGCCCGACAGGCACTGGCTCACCTATAGCTTGTGTCACCAGAATGGCGAAAAGACAGACGACGAGAGGCCCCATCTTGACGACGCTGTCGACAGGACTGAAATGATGCTAAGGAAGCTCAGGTCAGCTGATATTAGGACCACTTAATCCTGTAGTCAAGAGTGACGTCCTCTTATGAAAGGGTGGTCTAGGCACCAGGTAGGTGATAGGGCCAGGCGCGTGCGCATAGGGGGGGGGGGGTGGGGTTAACCCCCCTTCATTTTTGTTTATGTGTGTCAGTGTGTTTTGAAGGACCCCCCCCCCCTTCGTTTAAAAAAAAAAATGCTAATCGGTGACCTAAAAAAGGTGACCTTACCCCCCCCCCCCCCAACGGAACGAAATGTTGATCGGTCAAATTTTCAAATTTCGGGACCAAAAAAAATTAAAAACTATGCCCTCTTACCCTCCCCCCCCCCCCCCCCCCCCACCACTCATTGCGAAATTTTTGGGACCAAAAACAAAACATATGACCTCTTAGGTTTACTGTTTCTTATCCGGAATAACATCCGTAGGTGGCAATTAGATCAAAGCAGATACAAATGATGGTAGGTCCTTCAAAATGTATTATTGTTTTAATATAGGTACACATAAACAGTACTCGACAGCAAGCAATGAGTGTATTTATATTTTTTCCAGATTATTGACTGTTCGGTGTAATGTTGGGTGAATAGCAATTTTCATAACGCGATGAGTCTAGATGAACTGCAAATTTCACAGAATGTATTAAACGAAATGGCTATAATGGAGCGAATTTGAACGTTTTCTGGAACGTTAGGAGACTTAATCACACGAACACTTTACTCCGTCATTTTAGCAAACTTTTGCAGACGAATGCCCTCGCGTTACGATATTGATTTGTTTTTAATAAAGTTGAAATAAGTAAACTTTGACTGTATAGAAATTGCGATAAGCTTCAAACATTATCCAAACAAATTCTGACAAACAAAAGGAATATATTAATATAATTGTGAGTTGTAGTGATACAAGTTACAACACAAATTAATTCGGTCTGGCACAAACTTTGTAAACTAGACAAGTGTGGATTTATATCCTTTTTTCAACGTGCCCACTTTGCATCTTATTATGACTTATAAAACAGTCCCCCCCCCCCATTTTGCAGTTGTCTCCTCCCCCTACCTCTGTCCTCCGACGTCAACTATATAGGGCTTTAGAGTTTGGGATGTAGTAGGATTTTAGGTCACATTAGGGTTAGGGTTGAGTTTAGATATATTGCTTAGTCTAGGGATGAAATAACGATTCGGTTAGTATAAGATGTTGACAGCTGAGCAATTTTCCCCAGAGCATATGCCGCACAACACCCCAACCCTCCCACGCTACACGTTCTAACATCGGTCGTGTACATTGGTTTCTGTCGTGCAAAGCCAACATTACAAAAAACCAAGGTTAATATACAAGTGGTCAGTGGTAAAGGTGAAAAGGAAACAGATAATTCAAATTTATCTGCGGTGAACTTGAGGTTGAGTTAGTTAGTGCTAGATTCCATTATCAGAAGAACTGTAAACGTCAGGGACTTTGAGCTCGATAATATATCCTATAGATACAGTGTTCCTGAATGATAGCATTCATTTCCTCTGTACCAGGGTTTCAGCTTCCGATTGACAAGTAATTGGAACAGACAGTCTAGGACCAAGGACTTGCAATCATTGCAAGTTTGAAACAACAATATTATTGAAGGGAAACAAAATGACATATCTCAGGCACTTCCTCCGTTTTCAATCCCTGCGATTATTTTGTCATGATAAGTCTGAATTGTGATAATGTTTTAGTATTTTAGAATGTTTAGTTCTTCGAACATCCATTTATAACCTTCCCTAAAAATAGATGAATGTCCTCCTTCTCAGTATTCAAAGGGGGGGGGAAGGATCTTGCCTGGCACAAAATGCAAATGGGCTACGCCAGCTCAGTCAAGTGTTTGTTGATGTCCTTCAAAATACGATATATATATATATATATATATATGTTTCCCTGGCACCATTTCGCAGTTTTTTTCAGTCCATTTGGTAAAGCGTTCATTTAATTTAGCGCAAACACTATTTTCGGCGGAAACTGTCATTCAAACTTGCACTTCAATTATGCAATTTATCGCTTTGGTACAGGGATTTTCGCACTTCAAATTCATTCCGTCTAGAAGCCATGAGTCATTCAAAATCGTCGGCAATTGCCTAACTTGATCTCGGGCATTCTTATTCACTTATGGGCAATCAATTGGTAACATGTGCATTCAAATCACAATGTATATTGTTTATGTTGGCCCCTACCTACTTTTGTTTCAAATTCCTTGTAAATGAAAAGATGATTTTTGTTTCGTTGCATTCTTTATTGTATTTATTAAGTACAAATGAAAAGTCATACATTTTCATTTTAATTGATATACATAATATCACAACTTAAAGAAAATTGTACAGCCCTCAGAAATACATTATATAGTTAAATATATATTACACAATGTCTTCGAATTAATTTACTGAATGAATATTATAGATCAAACCCTACCCCCCCCCCCATCCACTGACAAACAACAAACACACAAACAAACAAAACAGACAGACAGAAAGAAGAGAAGAGAAGAGAAGAGAAGAGAGCAGTGTATAGCGCCAGAGAGCGGTCATCCGCTCTCCACACGAAAATAGGGGAAATAAAATATATAGTGTTGAACCATCGTGTACCAGCTTTTTCCTAAATGTTGAAAATTATGAGATTTCTATAATAATGTTAATGTCGCTCAATAGAATTGTACTTATTTTATTTATGAACTTATTAAAATAGCATTGAAAAAAACTTGCACGTAAGTCCCCACCCCTACAATTGATAATAAATATCCTTGAACTCTTCGGTAATAATCTACATCCAAATTCCAATAATCATCTTCATATACGTTTAAATTCGAAGCAGATTTGAACAAATCCATACTTGTGAAAAAGAAATCATCGGGGAAATCGGACTAATATGAATGAACGAGATGCTAAATCGGTTGCTCCGAAATGAATTTGGATGTACATGTACGAACGGCAGTATTACGGGATCATTTTATGCATAAGACCTGAATTTGAATGAGAAATATGTTGACTAAAAAGCAAAGATCATGAATTTGAACTGTCGAATAAAAAAGCAAGACTAAATTGTGCTAAATTAAATGCACGCAGAATGAATTGGATTGGCAAAGTTGCAAAGTCGGCCGGGAACCTAAATTATAACATGCAGTAGAATATGCCAGAAATAAAAATTACGATTTCGGCAAGAAAAACTCTGAAAACAGTGCAATGTGACTCGGGATAAAGTAAAGGTGAGCCCCCAATCTGTATGAATACCTAATTTATTTGATCATACTCAGTAATAATAATAATAATAATAATAGTGGGTTCTTTTATAGCGCTCATGTCAGTCAGATTTGACCCTCCTGGCGCTCCCGATTATTACCCTGGCTTTAGCACGGCTGCCATACGGCGCTCTAGCATTTCAAGGAATAAATTCCTACCAGGTACCCATTTACTTCACCTGGGTGGAGTGTGGCAAAGACCACGATATGTCAATTTATGATCCTGAATAAGTAGAGAGGGCGCTATCAACGTCAAGACATTTTTTCGAATCCTTGAGCTTAACCAACACAAAATCCTGAAATATCAACACTAAAGTTGACCATCCAATTTAATCCGAAAGGTAAGACTGAACTTGAACCATAATTACGCTAATACGTATCCCATTTTGAAGTGATTTCATTTGACGAAAGTGAGATGAATATAAGAACATGTCTAATAGGCAAACCACTCCCAACCCCAACAGGCCGATGTATGTACCTAAAGGGTCCAAGCCCGTCTTTCTTTGATATGAAGACGTCAGGAATGGAAATACTAAACAACTCACTGGTGAGGAGTTTCATGTTGCTTTTGCCAAGATTGTTACTCCAACAAATATCACTGGCACACAACAAATCCGCCACATGTGTCGGATTTATATGGAAAAGCAATCTGATCGTGTGACGTTCATCACAATCGGATTAGAGATCCGAGGAGCTGCCGCCAAGGCCCGTGAAGATAAGAGACAATAATACCAAACAATATAATTTCAAATGAACTCATAGGATATTGCCCTCTTAATTTAACCTAATAAATGTGAATTTGTCGTGAAAAAGAAACTATTGAGCATTTTATGTTTCATTGCAAGAAGGTAAGAGCTTTATTTCAAGAAATATATATTTCATCTTTGAAATAGAAATTGAAATCGATATGAACATGTTATTGATTGGATATAAAACGAATAGCAGAAAATTGACTTTACTTAATTTCTTGATAAATTATGCACAACTTTTAATATACACAGATTGTGTAAAGCAGAACTTTAGGGAAGTATAAACCAATCCATAGAGGTTAATAAATAATTTTATTTTCATCATCGAAATCTTATTTGAAATACTAAGAAAATATAAAATACTTCGATAATGAAGAAGTTAAGAAAGTAATAGAAATGTTATAATGATCCTTTTAAGAAATTATGTTGATCGTATATATAATTCAAATATTTCGTTTTACTTGTTTTGTAAATAGTCTATATGTATTTTGAAATGGATTAATAAAGTCCCTCTGAAGAGGTAGAGAGAAGAAACAAATGCTGAATAAGTGAATATTCGTTGAGATATGTAAGCCTCGGTCACAATTACTGCTACGAACGCCAGAGGACGTTAATGACAGACTTAGATTTGAACCCTGAAACCTTTGAATAGAGTCAAGTGATTGAACCTATATACTATGACACATGATTTCTAATAAGAACGGGTATTGATACAAGGCAAATTTTCACAATACGATGCTAAAATAATTTCTTGTTTAAATTGTTCAAACGTTTCAATAATCTTTATATCTTGAAATCTTATGGAGATTTTTGAAGAGTTAAATCAAGTTGTAGTAACCATGGACAATAACTCCTTGATAATAGAGGTCATTATCTGGCAGATCTAATTACAGGTTGTTTGTTGCTTGTAATCTTCGAAAGCCTGCTGCCAGTCGGTCATGTCATCCTTCCAGTCATCGTAGCTCTCTTGCCATTCTTTCTCGTCATCGTCAATTGTGTCTGAGGAAAAAGACAATTCCGTTATATATTGGTTGTCAGTGTGGTAATCGTCGTTTAATAGAATAATGATTATATAATATAATGATAATAATAACAATACAAATAATAGTAATAATAATTAGAAGAAGGATGACGGGGATGAAAAAAGTAATAATAATGATGATAATAATAAAGCTGATAATAACAAAAATACTATTAATTTAAAATATAATATAATACATGTATTAATAATGATAGCTAAAGATAGCGTCTTTATGTACATGCACATGTAGGAAAACCGGACTGGGAACAAGTCTATGACGATTAGCCTGTTGTTGAGCATAAAGTCTATGCCAATAGGATGTAAGAAAGAAAGCAATCCCTCTGTAGTTTTGATTTTGCAGATACAACCTAGGTAACTTCACTGCTATTAAAAAATTGACTTCTGTCTTGTCTGTGCATGTATTGTACACGTATATGGCTAGTGTATTTATTTTATTGCGTTTATGAGCATTGGGTTAGTTCAATCAAACATTACGATATGTTACAATTAGTTAACTTATAAATCTTATAAAATCATTGAATTAAAATCTTCTTACTTGTGAATGCCTCTAGGGCAGGAAGGTATTCGTTCCAGAAATGGCACTGCCTTGCCAGCACAGCTCTGCCTTCACCCAAGTCTAGGGACAGTTCCTTGTGTTTGAGCTCAGGGATCGTGTACAAAGGCCAAGAATCCTCTCCTACTCCTGCTTCTCCACCAACACTAGACTTGCTGGGGTCACTGAGATGGAATAAAATATAATGCAAATTCATGCTTTATCGTATATTCAGAGTATTAATGTAATTTCTGATACTCTTGTAGTGTTCATATCCACCACGAAAAGGTGCTCTAGTCGCTGTAATATCACACGGTCATATGGTTTTTAGTTGGACTTTCTATTTCGGTGCTCAAATCATTCAAGGAATTCCTTCCTTACACCTAGTTGAGGAGAATACATATATATGAAGTTCCTTTTTATTATTAATTGTATATTCATAAAAGATGATAAAATTACCAGTCAAACTCGACTAATATAGCAATCTTCAGAAATTCACATTAGATTAAATGTATTTTACGATTCCTATTTTTAAATGTGTCTACAAGCTCCCTAAGTTGATTTATTTGAAATATTTTAAATACAAATATTTTAATTCTTTATTTAAACAAAGGTATAATTATTTTTCCGAATGTAATTAGGTGAATATCTAACTCAGAGGTTATAGGCATCATGTAGGAACCTATGAACTAATTCAATACTCCACGATGAAAGAGCACAAACAAGAAGTTGTATCAAATTTGTTGAAAATTACATTCATAATTTTTATGTCCGTTTTCCAAGCGAACGGAGGAAAAAAAGATAAGGTAAATGGGCATATGACATTGAAATGATGATCCTGTTTCTAGACTCTTTCCAGGGAGAGCTCCCCAGTCGTTTTATAACACTCATACGACGTATTGTTTCTATTTTGAGGTAAAACAGTGACCTTTGCTTTTAGATTGATTATCTTACCCTGACTTGGCAAAATTTGTCCAAAACTGCATGAACTTAACGGAGAGGGCGTTCTCCTCGTCTGTCAAGTTGTGTCCACGGTAATAGTAAAGCTCATCAATGAAGGGAAGACCCCAAACGAATATCGTTTCTTCTGCGTGGCCAGCGCCTAGCCAAGGGGTATTTGGAAGTGCGTCCCCATACATGCGAACACTTCTGTTAAAGAGAAATAGAAGGGTTGTTGAAAGAAAAAAAAACATCCTCTGCAAGTCTCCTACAATCATCGTAGAATTATACAGCGTATCGTATAAAATGACCAATATTAATCGCAGAAATAAAAAACGAGGATTTAGGTGCATGGAAGCGAATAAATTACAACATAAGGTTATGTCCTCGTATACTTAGGTCAACATCTAATCTTAGGTCAGGGCACAAATTTGTTTTTCTTTCCAAACCCGACTAACACCACTGTCGAGGCTGAGTGTAACATGTACTTTCGCAAGTTGAGATGATAACGTTTTTAATTCTATTCATGATAGTACATTTCTATTCGACATTAAAAGCTAGAAAATTCAACTTTGGTATGTTTGCAATGAATGCAACTATACATTGCATTGTATGATTGCAAGTGGATGAAAGCACAAGTGGATTAGCAACTCCGATGGTGTCACCTTTAATATCTTACTTGGACGGAGCATGTGTCATGTAATATTTGTAGACGGTAACACCGGCTTCTACATGTCTTCTCATTACAGAGTCGGATGGACAGGCGAAGTTCGAATCGGTCCCGAAGTTCACCCATGATTGGAAGTAATCACTTTCCGGATCATCGGCCATTGTCCAGTCGATGTATTCCTGGAACACGGAATCATAGACGATCTCATCGTCCCTTCCATTGTTAGCCATGGAGCCTTTGATGATATTTTCGAAGGCATTTCTGTTGATCGGTGGTGCTGTAGGGCCCCCGTGGTAATCTGGATAGAAGATGTATGGTACCAAGGTTCCCTCATCCTTGTTGAAACCAATCAGAATGGGTACGTTGGCGAAGTTCCCCATCTTATAAAGATTGGTCGGTGTTTCTTTTAAGAAGGTCCCGTCCATCGTTACGGGATAGCCTTCGGCATACACCTGGAAAAGAAGCGTCAATAGTTGCCGTTATTGCAGTAGTCAAGAGCCAGGCCATTACTGGGATGAAATATTTTGCATTATGCCCATATATGCTCTGCTATTCGAAACATTGAACCATGACATCAACAAAACACTAATTTCACTTTAACTGCTGAAAACTTTAAATCGAAATGCATTTTTAACATACAAGCCTAGATTGATAAGACGTTACCTTATCGGCTGCCGTGCTCAGTGCCACAGGGTCTTCTACTTCCCGAAGGCAGGAAACCAAAGCAGAGGTGGAGACCACATCTTCACATCCCATCTCTCGTCCAAGTTCTTGTGCTTTCTCAAGTTCGGCGACTGGATCATGCTTAAAGGCCCCATTACCGATTGCCGTTCCACTCTGTCAGGTTAAAGTTCATGAATTTAAAAGTGTAATGCCGAACAAGAATGATACATATTGGAAAATATACACCGCATTACAAATGTAAAACTCTGTTTTTACGAAGAGGATTATTTTTAATAATAGTTGAAATAATCACCTGAAGAATCGCCTGATTGAAGAATCCTCTACTGAGTTCTGAAAGGATATGAAAATTAACGCTTGACGATCCCGCACTTCCTCCAAATAGGGTTATCTGATTCTTATCACCACCAAAAGCTTTAGCATACAAGTAGAAAAAGAAAGACCATACAACATGTGAGTAGGCGAGTAATACTTGCAAGATATAAATCACCTTCGCGTCAATCGTTCCTGAAGTTATCATGAGATGCTTTCTAAAATTTTGATTTGATTATTGTTTGTATCGAAAAGCTTCATTGGTGAGCATTAATTGTTATGCTCAAGGTAGCATGGCATTCACAATAGACCTGTATTAACAATCAAAGGAATGTTGATAACTTAAAAGATACACATCAAGGAAGATGGCTCTGAACGGAGCCATCTAGATGTATTCTACAAAATGGCTTTATCTATAATTGTCTAAGTTTTCATATGAATATATAATAAATTTTTATATACGGGAAAATACATTCCGTTCTCACCTTCGATGTTGTTGTAAACCCATTTCAAAGCTGCAGCTTGATCCAACATTCCATAATTGCCAGGAGATTCAGTATCCTCTATGTGTGACATAGAGGTGTACAAAATAGAACCAATAAATATCAAACATTTTCAGAGATATTAAAGACACAAATCGGGATTCATTTTGAATTTACATTTTTTTCGAGTCATTAGAAAGACGCCAGTAATAGTTTTAAATTAGTTGTCTTGCTTTCCCGCACGCCCGGCTTTTATCAACGACATATCTACATAAAAAAAACGATAATCTACACACATAGATTATATTCACTGTGCTCAAACAATACCTCCTTTTCTATTAATCTTACCACTTAAAGGGGGAACATCCTGGAAGAAATAAACTTCAAATCAAAGTATCTGAATGGCAAAACGATGCGTCATTATTGTTCTATAATGTAGAATTTACCGATCACGGTTATGCCTAGGTCACATATGCTCTACGCCCCCGAAATCGAGAGATATTTGCAGCGGCCGCAGAGAATCTGCGCTTGCCTCAGGGTCACCGAAGGGGCGTATCCCTATCTTTACAGGCCGTACGGGTCGCCATGTGAGTTTATAACGCGGAGTTATAACTGTTTTCATTTCAAGGTTTGCCGTAACGATTAGACACGACGTAGCCATACCGTAAAGCGGTTCCACGCGACCGTACGTCGGGCGTACGGTGGCATTGCGTTTTATATACTCCAGGGGTGAAGCGTTAGCATCAGTCTGGCCGCACGGTCATCGTATGGTCCCCCTTCGACCGCCTTGCGTACACATTGTGGCTACCTTGCGTCTGCCTTATTATTTGTCAAAAAGCTACGGCCGCCGCAGGGACGCCCTAAGGCGACCGTGCGTCATCACTTCAAATGCCGTTTGGTAGCCGCAGATTTTCTGTCTCCACAAATTCAAAATACGCCGTGCGGCTACCCTAAATTTGCGACCGCTACCGTATATGACAGTGGGAATGCTACGGCGGTCCTGTAATTACTATTGACCGTATATATTTTAGACCGCACGGCCGCTGCGGCAAATGTGACGTAGGCATTACAGACATTTATAAACAACTGTTTATTTTTAACATAGTTGGTGTAAGAAATCTAAGATTTGACAATTCCGGGGAAGGGGATGCTTCTTTTGAATAAAAATGGCTATACATTTTGCATTTCTTGTCTAAACTGCACATTACAAATCAGGAGTCGCAATCAGCAAATTTTCATTCTATAGAATTTTTTATTTTAATAGTCGTTTTCTATTTGCTTTATTAATTTAAAATTAATTACATTGCACTTAACCCTACCGGTTGAAAAATGTGCAAAGATCGCCAAACGGTAGTTCAAGGTAACCACAATGACGTCACCGAAAGCCACAAGTGGAACTCCATAGTAGTCATATGACATTGCTGTCCCAGCGACAAAATTTCCTCCGTGTATCCACACCATGACAGGCATCCCAGATGGCTAAAGTGAAGAAAAAAGAGAAATACCTACTCCACCAGAATGACTGACTTATACCTTTATTCCATGGCCTAACGAAATAATACGACATAAATAGTACAGAAAGCAAAGCTGTGAGTGTTCTTGGATATATTCGACACAATTAATCCTCATTCATTCAGGATTGCATTTGAATATGCCAGTAGTATATTTGTATCTACTTTTATTTGATTTTTATTTGTTTAGTTCATCAGAATAAGCCTTATGCTTGGGTCGCCTAATAAACTTTAGGTTACTAATAGTTAACCCGACGCTTGGGTTAATCTCGGTCTCAAGTCGGGTTTACCAAACAGAGTAAGACTTAGATCTATCCTCCGATCAACGTCATTTCACTTCGCCATGGAAGGTCACTTAAGATACCAAGCTGACTATCTTAAGGTGCATTTATCATCCCTTTTCTGACTTAGAATTATCGTTTTCAAACGTGTTTCAGGCAAGTTTGCATGGTGATAAACGCAAACCTGTTTTCAACGTCTTTATTGTCGCATTGTCGCATGAAAGCCCCTTTCCCACTGGATCTGCATAGATTTGTGTAGTGAATGGGTTGCATTTTTTATCGAATTTTCTGTTTTTTTTTTAATTTATGGAAACTGCCCCCTACCCTAGCCCCCGCTGCGTACAGTCATGGTTCAGTGACAAAGCAATGGCCTCGTAACTGTGAGGCCCCAGGATCAAAACCGTGTCGATGTGCTCTATTAGTGCCCTTTTGTGGGGCATTAATCCTCATTACTGTCATTTATGACTTAAGGGCGTAGATCCCCTATTTGATAAGCATAGTAGCATACACATGTTTTAGCAGTCACGCGAAACACACATTGTCAAATTATTATTCAATAAAATCTGAGAATGTATACTATTATCTAGATCTATTATTTTTAAATTATTTTTAAAATAATTCCATAAATTGGGGTAAAACAAAAATATTCCAACTATATGAGCGACAGTGTAGTTACGTTGGCCAGCGCAAGGCAGCGTACCCTCTGCGTAGTCGTTACACAACACTACACAACTCTCCGTATGGCCCGGTGTGAAAGGGGCTTTAGCACGCAGTTTCCATTTCGACCATATCTCGAACTCTAGATGATATGTTTATCATCCTCAAATTGGCTGAAGACGTACTAGAGGGGAGAAATTCACTTGATCGTCGGGTGGAATATGCTCAGTGGTTTGGGCAGAAGGCGTGGTGTTCTAATTGTTGTTCTTTTGGTTGGTTTTACATGATAGCTATAGAAGCATGTATGTGCTTGTAAGTCGGCAACCAGGGAACCGACGGATGTATAAAGTCCTCTCCGAGGGACTAGGTATAATGATTATTAATACATTATCGAATGTGCTATGAACGTACCTTTGGGCTCGGTGTGTAGACATTCAGGTACAGACAATCTTCAGATATAACTGGGTAGAACAAAGGTTGAGGTCTTTGTTGACAGGCTGATGTAAACTCCGTGGCATTCCGATCACCTTCCCAATGCGTCATGGGCTCTGGAGGAGCGAACCGCGTCGGAGGACTAGCGAATGGGACGCCCTGTATCAATAGGACAGCATCACACATTTTGGTTTATATTGACAAACACGCAGATTATTATCACTCTTTCTGTTTCCTTTTTGTTTTTCAATATTGATTTAGTATAATACACATCTGGTTTGATCAAGTTATATTTAACATTTGTTGTGAGATGTGTCGGACACTTACCTAACTAGATAGTAATTCTTCATTTGCATATTATGTTTTAAAGTGCAATTAAACCGTTAAAAAAAGTTCATCTGATTAATTGATTAGAAATCGAAACAAAAACTTCTTTTAATGCTCGGAAATAGAAATTGCTGAAGGCACAGGTATCTTGAATTGGCGAACTGGTAATACCACATTGGACATTACTGACTACGGAACTGAAATGTGAAGAGAGAAGGGAACTTGTTGAACTCGCAAAGGCGCCATGGTTAACCCAAGATTGCGAGAAGGCGAGGTGATAAAACTCGCCAAGGCGCCTCGGAGAGTTTTAACATGTCGCCTTTTCGCCTTCCCGACCTCAATAAGGCGGCTCGGCGAGTTTAAGAAGTCTTCTCCTTGCCCTCTCGACGTAAACAAGGCGTCTTAAGCAGGGCTCCCACTTAGCCGAGTTGGAGCCTCGAGTTGTGGCGAGCTGGCGCGATCTTATGGCAAGCAGTTTTATCATTAAAACATAATTCTTGATCTCAAGAATTCAATTCTTGATATCACGAAATCGAATTCCTGATATCACGAAATCGAATTCTTGATATCAAACATTACCATTGCTTTACAACGTAGAATTATTTCTTGATATCAATTAATAATAAAACGGCTTGCCATAAGATCGCGCCAGCTCGCCACATGGTTTCAACTCGGCTAAGTGGGAGCCCTGCTTAAGGAAGTTTTAACAAGTCGCCTCCGAACATTGTCGACTTACACAAGGGGCCTTCTAGCCTTCTTGCTTTCTCATCTTAGCCATGGCCCATATCCGAGTTAAACAAGTCTCCTTCTTGATGCACGTTTAAACCTCTGTAGTTTTGTTCACCTATTTGAGATACCTGTAACTTCGGCGATTTCTAAGGTGATAGGAGCCTAAGAACTTAGAAGTTAATGCTGCATTCGTTTTAACTGTACTGGATATATGCAATTGATCGTTCTTGATCTGTAGTTTGATATGATAACAAATAATAGGCCTAGCTGAATATTTATCGAGCACATATTCCATTGGATGAACGAGGCGGCTAAAAAGTATATAAGAGGGCAAATCCAACGTATTTGGTCATTTTGGTGTCCCATATAGGTGACCAAGTATCATTGGGTTCCGAACAAAATGTGACATGAAGTCTCTGATTTGAGTTTATATATGGTGTGATCCGTTACAGTAAATCTAATGGAACTAATACATTTATGTAACATACTGAATTGTATAGATGTGCTTGGCGACATATGATACAAAATGCATTGGACTTGCCTAAGACCATTACCCTCCCTTTAGCCAAGTTGCCTTAAGTCGCTGAAAACGTTCAAGTTATGACACGGCGTGCAGCGTAATGTCTTACTTAAGCATAGTAGTGCCTAAATCATACTTTTCTTTAATTTACATTCTTTCTAACACATCGTCGGCCTTATGCCAAAAGAGCCTTAACTGCTTTTGGCCATTCCGAGATAATCGCGTTTAAAGTTTTGGCCTCTCTAATAATCAAAAGTTTGTGGTCGTTTTTTTGTTTTTGAAGCCAATTTTGATAAATGTGTTAAGTTATTAGGTTTTAAATGATATGTGTTAAATGTGTTATAAAATATTCAGAATTGTATATGCTATGTGCAAAAAACATGTTAGGGCCTTTTGGGCATGAGGCTTGTATTACTGCCAGAAGGGCCGTAACCTACTCGGCATTATGCCAAAAGGGGCGTAACCTACGCGGCGTTATGCCAAAAGGGCCTTAACCTGCCGTTATTTACGCGCGCATAGTTAGCGCCCTTCTGGCATAACGAAAATTTCTTGTTTCGCAACACCTTTGGTTTGCCAAAAAGCCCCTCCTACGGCTACTGGATCACGAAAACTGATAAAACTGATTAATTAAAATGTTAGAAAAGGTATTTTTGATATCTGAATATTTGTATTGATATAATGCAGCTTTCGGTAAAGTTATTTTTTAGAGATCATACATTTAGGACACCTTTTTCGTTGTTTATTTTCATCACAGTCCCATACGTTGACATCTGCGTATTTCAGCGAGTCGGTCGCATTTCATGCATCCACAATTAATTTAGATCTCACTCAGATTTCATGATCTAAAATCATGACATATACTTTCAGTGATTATTTCAAGTACATTGTGTCTATTGTAGACTAATCCTGTTTTTAATGGTGTTTCTACTGATATTTATTGAATTAAATGGAAATTACAAAATAATCTGTCATTGATAAAAGATTTGCCGTGTAGGTTAAGGCCCTTTTGGCGTAAGGAAAAAGATGAGATACACGTTAAGGCCCTTTTGAAATTCATAATTATCTTCATAAATAAATCGAATTTCAACAAGTAAAGCACATCATTTTTAAGAGAATGTTGAAATCTACAAGGTAATGTTAATAACTCAATAACCCCCACAATCGGGTTAAGGCCCTTTTGGCATAAGGCCGACGACATGTAAATCGTTCAGTAAAAAAATTGATGTACATAAAAATATTGTAATTCAAAAGTAAATGTACATTACGAAACACTCATATGGTTTTAGTAATTGCAAATATCGGACTACGGTTTAACATGTTTGATAAGGATTTGGTCCTCAATATTTGTATTGACTTAAATAATTACGATCTCATGAATTGCGGTATAACTGAAACAAGTTATAATTTGAAACTACATACTTTTTAATGACTTACCAGAAACATATCGACATTTTTGGTCACGTTTATAAACTGGTTCTCACTGAACCTGACGGTCTTCCCAATGAGATTTCCTTCAGTGACAGTCACACGAGGGTTTTGACCAGATACGACAATGATCGTAGAGACGGAAATGGCTAAGAAGATAGAGAGCAGCTCCATCTTTCTTGAAATAAAAGTCGAACACTTCCTAAAGATATTTTCAGTGCCTTCGGTGTGAATAACATTCGATGGGTTTGTTTTCAAGTCTCAGTGGTTTATTCAAGCGTCCTTGGGTCTCTTTACTGGTTAGGTGTGGTTATTCATTTAAGAAAGACAAACATTTGGATCCGTATTCTACCCAAGGTTGAAACCGATGCTGGGTTTAAGCTCGGTCTGATGACGAGTTTAACAAATACTGAAAGAAGTCTAAATCTTAAACAATTTTAACCCCTGGCGTTGTGTTCAAATAGATTAGTATCCGAATTGTCAATGTTATAGAATGCATCGTCATGCAGAGTGCTCATGTTTAAGAACAGCGGCGAGTTTTTTTCTTCAGCTGATATTTGATCAGGGTTTGCTTGCTTTGCCAATTATGTAATCACTGGTGTTTGTTGTTTGCCGAGTTGCCCAAGTGTTTTGTTTGCAATCACCAGTCGCCTATACATGTTGTGTATTTTTCTGTATTCATTTTAGTTCCCCCCCCCCCAATCCGTCACCCTCCCTCTTTCTCTATCTCTCTCTCTTCTTTGTATCGTTATATGTTCCCTTGCTCTTCCCCTCTGCCCCCATCTCTCTCTCTCTCTCTCTCTCTCTCTCTTACAATGCAATACCTTAAACATAAATATATCTATAGATGTGTCCCTGATGTCAGTAAAAATCAATAAAGATCGTAGCATGTTTACTTTATAAAAAGCTAAAATGTTTGTCAGTAATAGCTCAACAAGAGATATTTCATTATATATTGAGCAGGCGTTTTTTTGATGGCTAATATCCGCGGTATCTCAAAGTGGAAGGGCCATTCCTTACACACCAGCTTTACTTTATTAACCGCCCATTCTAAAATACACCATTTTAGGTAGCGTCGTCTTGGAGGCCAAAGTTTTAATAGAATGTTCACTTAGTCCATGAAGTATCATGATTGATTTGTGCAAAGGAGTCAGAAACTTATAATTTAGAGTGACATAGATAAGTCAATTATCGCAAGGTAATAAATAACCAGTTACAATAATACATATTTCACTGATTTTTTTCAATATATACATTTTAGATTTGCTTATGATATTTTTAACAATAATGGCTGATGATAAGATATAAATTTGTCATCGATGATGACATTGATACAGATGACTATGTAAAGAGCATACAAAATGCAAATTGTAACTCTGCAAAATTTATTTCACGTCTGGTTGAAAAAAGATACATTATACTCTAACAGCTATTGTTCATCGGCATAATTTCTGAGTATGTTAATCACCGTCGTAACGCTGGGAAATCATGTCTATCTACTGCCTCGGCGCTGGAAGTCACTTGCGATTGAGAATTCCTTGACAATTTCATTTAGAGAAAATATATATGTGTAAGTTTTAAAATGCATTACGTTAACAATACATTTTCAATATATGAGTAATTATAATGAATCATGATTGATTACACAAGATAAAATTAACTCTCACTAAATAATAATAACAATAATAATAATAATAATAGGTCTAATAATATTTATAATAATAATAATAATAGCAATAATAATAATAATAAAAGTAATAATATTAATAATAATAATAACAGTAATAATAATAGTAATAATAATAATGATAATTAATAATAATAATAATGATAATTAATACTAATAGTAATAATACATTATATTTATAATGCGCTTAATATCAATGTTTCTCAATTTGTATTAAATAATAATAAAAAATCGAATCCAACAAACTATTTATTATCATCAATGTCTGCATGATTTGCGATAGAATATTATGATTCCTGCTTTTTTAAAGTTAGCCGTTTATACTGAGCCGATGTCCATAACTTCTTATGTGAATTAAAACTATGTATTTAGCATTTCCACACTGAACACAAATGAATGACTAAAACTGTTCAGCGGGTAGGCCTATATAAACGAAAACAATATTCACGGCATCAAATGGATGTATAGAAGATTAACGCATGTTCGTGATTTTGTTTGTTTAATTACTTTTAGCAGTTTTAAACTGTTTATTAAATATATCAATATCCTTCATCGGGCCGTAAATATGTGATTAAAAAAATATTATATACCGAGATATTAACAGATTGTATATTTTTGAATTGTATAGGAGCAGACAGCTTTGGTGAATGCTATTATCTATCTACAAATCTAGTTGCATGTTGGTAGCTGCTGGTAGTCTTCAAAGGCCTTCTGCCAGTCGGTCATTTCATCCTTCCAGTCGTCGTAGCTTTCTCGCCATTCTTGTTCATCTTCGTCAATCGTTTCTAAAGATAAAATGCAGGGTAGAAAGCAATTAAATAATTGCTGCCAAGGTGACAGGTATTTCACAGTTCTTCTTCGGTTTATTTGTTAGTACTTACAGAGTTTTGTTTCTCTCTTCTCATTCCATTTACTGTAAATACCCTCATACAGACTCACACCAGCTGGCTACAGGCATTCCTAATGTTGAGCAGAGATCTATAGGTAGTGCCATCGACTAATAAAACCATGAACGAATTTTGAAATGTTGGGGTGAGAGGAGCACTTACATAAAATGGCGATTCATGAATTGTGAGCAAAAAAGTGTAGGAATATAATTCATGATGACCAATCAATTCAAGCCTTCTTACTTGCAAATGCCTCCAGGTCGGGTATGTATTCGTTCCAGAAACGGCACTGCCTTGCCAGCACAGCTCTGCCTTCACCCAAGTCTAGGGACAGTTCCTTGTGTTTGAGCTCAGGGATCGTGTACAAAGGCCAAGAATCCTCTCCTACTCCTGCTTCTCCACCAACACTAGACTTGCTGGGGTCACTAAGGATAAACAAAAGGAAATACAATACCAGGCCTTCTTTTTCCTGACTATTATAAAAATACAATTCCACAAAATTAATAATGGCTATATTATCTTTATTTTTATTATTACTGATTGGGGATGTGCAGGTGGACCACTACACCAGAGTTTCCCTTACTCTCATACAAAAAGTGAAGTTGGTTCTTGATATGCTTAACGTACAAACATGGTGACCCTCCTCTACATAATTATGTATATGAGGCCTCCATTTTTTAACGTCCTGTCCAGACAAAGGGCGTTTTCCACTGTTACCTAGACTGCGTCTATGAGTCAAGGGATGGTCACCTAAACACAAAATTCAGTTATCCGCCGGAGTTGGATTCGAATCCATGATCTTTGGTTCGACAGGCAAACGCTTCACAGCCTCCTTTCAACTATACACTTATTAAACATTTTTCGGAAAATAAAATCGCATTCTGGTGCAAGCTAATTAGTCAGGGAGGCGATCTTGGAGGTCAAATAGATGTCCTCCGTTAACGAGAGAGGTTTTTGCATCAGTGGGTACTTGTGAGCTATGAACCAAAGTGCTCTAATGAGGCCCCAGTTTATGAAATTTAGAGCAGCTACCAACAAGGAGGTTCTTTCATGTAAATTTTCCTTTAAATGTTCACTGCTCTGCTTTCCCCATTTTTCTGGTCTTTGTACATCCAACCTTAGTGCAAAATGGAATTCCTCTTTTACAATAAATTTGAACATACAAGACTTTACGGTGGGTTTACTTTAGCTCCGTTTAGATGGAATGATTATTCTTAACTTACCCTGACTTTGCAAAGTTCGTCCAAAACTGCATGAATTTCACGGAGAGGGCGTTCTCCTCATCTGTCAAATTGTGTCCATGAATATGATAAAGCTCATCAATAAACGGCTGACCCCAAACAAAAGTCAGATCCTCTGCGTGACCCGCTCCTAGCCATGGAGAGCTTGGAAACTGATCTCCATAAGCGAGAATACTCCTGTAGATAAATGCATAACATAGAAATGAAACAAATATACACTGTCGCTCATATAGTTTAAATGTTTTCGTTTTACCCCATTATTAATGGAATTATTTTGAAAATAATTTAAAAATAATAGATCTCGATAATAGTATACATTCTCAGATTTTATTGAATAATAATTTGCCAATGTGTGTTTTGCGTGGCTGCTAAAGCATGTGTATTTCACTATGCTTATGAACTAGGGGACCTACGCCATTAAGTCATAAATGACAGTAATGAGGATTAATGCCCCACAAAAGGGCACTGATATAGCACATCGACACGGTTTTGATCCTGGGGCCTCACAGTTATGGGGCTTTCACATATACACTCCGTGGCCCGTACGGCGAGTAAAAACAGAAATTCTGCCGTAAAGTTCCGACGGGCGCCGGAACAGTTCTTTAAGCCGTACGGGCGCCGTGGTGGTGAGTTGGCTGCCTCCAATTCTCCCGGCGTTTTTATCTGACCGTTAGGCCGTACAAAGCCGGTAAAGGTTCCGTGCGGGCTCCGGACGGTGCCCGGACGGGCCCCTCACGATTTTGTTGGGTAAATTCTCATGAATAATCTTTACGGGTGCTCAAGGGTGCCGTACGTGTACCCTACGGCTCCCTTACGGGCCCCTCAAGAGCCCCGGTGATATGCACAACACCGGGCGTCTACAGTCCGAGGGATCATTTGAAATGAATATTGTCCGCGCGGGCCCCTCACGGCGGCATCTGAAAATGTGCAACGCAGCTTTAAATACAGGAGGTGCGGATGTCAGAGGACACATTGTTCAGAGCACTGCACGGCACCCGCCCGGGCGCCTTGAAGACCCCGGCCGGGCCCCGGCAGGGCACCTTCCGAGAGCCATGGGTGCACCTGCTAATCGGACGGATCCTGTAAGCTTACCGGCCGGCACCTTGCCTGCACCCTTACGGGCGCCTTGCATGTCACTCGACCAATTTTTACCCGGCACCTCCCGGGCACCGCAGAATATGTGACCACACATGCCGTAGAAATGAAAATCGGAAGGTTCCCGTACGGTCTCTAAATCCTTGGCAAGCCGCAGGGTAGGGAAAATCGTACGGGGCCCGGTTTATATGTGACCTAGGCATTACGAGGCCATTGCTTTGTCACTGAACCATGACTGTACTCAGCGGGGGCTAGGGTAGGGGGCAGTTTCCATAAATAAAAAATAACACAGAAAATTCAATAAATTTTCAATAATTTGTTGCATTTTACCCCGGTCCCCTACATAAACAAATCCTCTGTGTGCCCATGCCTTGAGCCATAATGCATTGCCGTCCAGAGGATATGAGCGACAGTGTATTAAAAAGAACAAAGAGGGGTACGCGATCATTAGAATCAAAGACACAAAAATGCCTACTTTTACGTCGAAGTGAATAAGCCCATGCACCCATGCGATGCTGAAGTGTTAATAGCCTATTATCGATAATATAGCTTTATGTCATCTTTCGTTTCGACGTTTGAGTG